TCACCACTTAGACATTTTTTCAAACAGTAGATCGTGATTTAAATCTATCACTATGTTCACGGTTGTGGAAAAATACCGGGAGTGCCTACAGCTGAATTCTGACGAAATCACATCTACCATTTAATCATATTGGCATGTTGGGTTTTAAATGTTAAACTACGACCAGAAATGTTCGAAAACAGTTTTTCTCATTATTTAATTTTCTTAATTTGAGAAATCGACATTAAGAAAGAGAAAAGAAATTATTAATGCATTTCAAATCATATACATTTACCCAATTATAGATATTTCAATTTCCTTTTATAACTACACAGACTATGATGTATGATTCAAGGAGCGGCAGTGCAAGATATTTATATATATCGCTATTATTGACTTGGTAAAGGATCAGAGCATATTCTAATATAACATTAATCCTCTTATGTCTGGCTCATAAAAAAAGTCAAGCATACAATTGCACATACTGGTATCTATTAAAGAGTTGTTACGAAATTAATCTTTTAACCTTGAAGGGACGATTTAGAGTGATTAAACCGCCACCTCGTCGATACTGAAAACAAAAAGTTATTGAACTTCTATCTCATCAAACCGACAGCAGTGTGACGAATTCGTCACGTACATGTACACAATCGTACCTACACCCGACTCGTGCTTAGACCTGTCACAGCGTTCCCGTGTCATCCGAGTATCGTTTCATGTTACGAAAGCTTGTTGGTTTGCTTATGTAAATGTGTATATGTTGGCTGACGAAATAGAAAATCTCGACTGTTTGATAACATAGCCCGGTATAGATTTCATAACCTATTCTTCTATGTGTTGTATCAATATAATCATTGAATTATCATGGGAATAATAATTAAATATAAAACTTCCTAGATGTGCATAATAGTGCGAACAGTTGGCCACGACTTCAGTATTTTGTTATAATGAAGAAATCGGAACTCTCCCATTTCTGCCTTCTAGATTTATTTTCCTTTCAGGTATTGTCTAGCATTCATTTTACAATTTTAAAATTGTCAATTACAGGTGCTTACACTGTTCTGGTTCTAGTACTGAATTCTTTAGTTTATTTTGCGATATATTTCCAATGCATTGTAATTTAAGTACAGTTCTGTCTTGAAAAATCCGAAACCCTGCAGAAAACGGATTTATCTTTAATGTTTTTAGCAAAAGTTAAAGACTTTCAAGCCGATCATCAGACTTTTTTTCGGGTTTAATTCAAATATTTTAATTTGTATCTTTTTTACATAATGCATGATTATATCATCATCTTACACCACTCGACGCATGATCATGAGTAATATTTTAAAACAAGACACATTTAGACGTATGAGTCTTGGGGAAAAAGACATCGTGATTTACTACACAATTTAAAAGTGGTAAGCAAAACTAATTAAAATAAATATCCTGCTTATGTTAGGAAGTTTTTGTTATTGTGAGTCACTATTGCGTGTGGTGCGAGTTACGTCACTTTTGAATGCTGTTACGGTTCTCGCCTACATAACGTATCGGTCAAATTTTCCATTGGGAGGTATCTGGAAAAAATGCAAAAATATTCCACTGGTAAAGGTTAAACAGAAAAAAAACCTTTCTCTACGGTAAAACAATTAGTCATGCATGTACCTAGAAAACACAGGAGTCTAACTGTTATTATCTAGAAGACGAAACAGCTGTGTGATGCAGCTTAGTTCACTTTTTGGCAATACTATATCGTATGCTGAAATTGTATTGAAAGTTGCTGTTATCCTGGTCGTCACATGTACAATTATTTATTAAAAGACTAAACCGGAATTGAAAAAAACAAAAATACCTATACCAAACACTTGGTGGATACTTTTAGATAAATCAATTGACAAAAGTATATGTTTTGTAAATTAATCTATCTAAAAGTGTGTTTTATAAATATCTATTTTTAAACGTTCTGAGTCTCTCCTTGTTAGTGACTTTTAAATTAAAACATATGTTATTCACCAATAATGATTTGAGCTCTCTGATTGTTAAACTTTTAAATAAAAAAGTTATTCACCAATAATGATTTGAGCTGTGATTGTCGCCGCTGAATAAAAAAGTCATTCTGTAACACCTGGTCTTTTTCTCTTTGTACATTTTAAAGGTAACCGTGCAAATCCTTTTTTCTCACTTTGCCTTCGTTTTCTTGAACATTATTTTGAATAAAGATGCTGTCAGTATTTGTTCTGTTGCTTTTCTCTCAATTCCTCAAGTAAGAAGCGATTTTCAGAAGTCACAAACATATACATCAAACATAGTTTTAAAGGCAACATCGATATAATCACACTAGCGTCTGTAGGTATGGTAAATGGTAAATATGGTAAAAAAAAGTCAGTCTATGGTGATGTAAATTCTCTCGTTAAATGTCAATGTCGGTAAAATATACAAATAAGTTTTGCTTTCTGTAATCGGTCATAAACGATAGGCCTACACGTGCATATCAAAAGTGAGGGACTTAGTGTGTAGGAAATGATATTATACAGAATCGTTACAGTCTCTATCAAAATGTGACAGTTTTGGCATGTATAAAATGTAGGCTCATTCATGAAATTGCATCGTTTATATTCCAAATTATAATAAAATATAAGACTCTTGACAACTGACGTTAAAAAATATATTGAGTCCTTTTTGAATGACATACAGGAATTGTAAGATACCAAACTCAAAATTCAAACTCAAAAAGTCAAGTGCAAAGTATGGACAAAAAAAAGGTTTATGTAAAAACACTGGAAATGGTACAAAGAGGATAATACACCATTTTGGAAATGAAATGATAAATTCTGGCTTATCTCTGACACTTTTCTTAGTAATGTCATGTTCTTAAAATCCCAACCGTGGTAGCAATTACAAAATATCTTCCTTATATACATTAACATAAAGGATAATCTCTTGAATAAGAATATGTGATGGGTGAAGTTTAAAAATACGGTGTTCAAACAACACATATCACAATATCTGGCTTCACTTACATGCGGACAAATTTGTGTAGACGAGAACACATAAGGCATTGATTATCTTCATAACCGAAATGGCAAAATATTTCAAAAACAAAAGTTAGACGATTCTGTCATGCCACACATTCTGCTCCTTATAGCTAGGTGATGCTGTATAAGCCACTTTTCTGTGTCTGTGCTCGATTTTGCTTGATGTGATAGCATTTATTCAATCAATGCTGTGGAGAAATTGAATCACAGCTGTTGTTCTACGATGTTTCCAGCAATTGTTTTTGTTTGTTTGGTTCCTGTCTGTTTCTATGGATTGATTGATTGATTGATTGATTGATTGATTGATTGATTGATTGATTGATTGATTGATTGATTGAACGATTCGTTAGTTGGTTGGTTAGTTCGTTGGTTGGTTGTTTGGGTCATTCATTCATTCCCTGTAAACGGTTATATACATTACGCAGATGAATTTTACACTTATAAAATAACACCTCAGGCATTAACCTACATGATATACTGTATATGTGTGACCTTATAAGTCTCGATATTTGGACAGGTTCGGGTTATTCCGCACCTGTCGCTATAATTTATTATTGTACTGAGTCAGTAAGTTACCTACTGTGTATGTTTATGGGTACACCTTCGGTTCCGTTTCGCTTTACTGTAAATAACGTTTAATTAATCAGCGATTTGTCTGTAGGTGCGAAATGCTTATGTACGTCTGAGGAGGGAACTAATGCAAGTGTCAAAAGGTGTGTTGTGAAGTTTTGATGGCTATTGTGTGATTGGCAGGGGTGAAATATAGGATGGGGGGGGGGGGTCAAAATGTGTAGATAGGACTTTTGAGTTTCTTCCAATATGACGCCGGGTCGAATCTCCGCCATTATTGTAGCGAAGACATCATATATCCCATTTATTTTTTAATAACGAAAGCAGGACAAAAGTTAATTGACAAATATTTGCTTGCAGCGAATTCCTACTCCAATCCAACGGTATTTGTATTTGCTTAAATATATCACAAACTTACGTAACATACATCTTTCTAGGTGTATCAACTCAAATGTGCTCTCTCTATCTATGAATATGTTAAACTTGTGTGACAGTCGTGAAGGTGATATTAGGTAGTGTACGTACATATATATATACATGTGCATGTTAAAGAGATATACTATAAAGTGAAGTAGGGGCCGAACTGTCACTCATATGACTATAGATACGTCAGTGCGTTACGCTGATCAGTAATGTAATGTGCCTGCTTACCTAAACAAGTGTCATTGCAAATTTACATAGAAAAGAACAACATTTTTCCTTTCGTGGAGAAGAAAACTAGTCGTTCATAAAATCAAATTTACTGTTAAAGTTGGTTGATCTGTCTTTGTTTTTTTTATTTCTTGTAACGATGCAAGTACGAGTGACGGAGACTGAACAACATTACAAACATCTACTACTCGCACGCGACCATCACTTCTACAAAAGTAACACAATAGATGCAGTATACCCAAACTGAACCACCCCAGTGCTAACTCGTTCCTATTTGGTTTTTATGTTAAGGGCACTTCTAATTTGCATATTCCCCATTATATTAAACAATTAAGTAATCAATAAATCAATCAGTTATTAAGTGGCTATATACATTTTCACCATAAATCGGCTGACGAAACCCTTTACGATACAGCTGATGAACGTACAAAAACTCCCGAGTTCACATCCAATCATCACATCGCTCTGTCTCGGGAGAAAAAAAAAGAAAAACTTTCCGCTTGGTGCTTGTTAATATTCCTGCCAATGATATTTCGTTATCTTTACAATTCGATTAAAATGCACTCTTATTGAACTGATACAGAATAATTTAATTTGCATATATTTGTTTAAGCTCACCGACCAATCAAATTTACGGGGCAGTCTGCTGAAAGGTGTTTCTGTCTCGCGCCTAACACTACCGACTTGGCGGAGTTCCAGAAACAGTCTGTGTGTATGTTGTGACGTCACTCCCGTGTATATAAACAAGTCGGCTAGCGAACAGGTTCAGAACCAACAACACCATCGAAAGCGTACGAATTATATCGCTATAAACAGTGCAAGGATTTAACATTCTAAAAACAACAGCAAACTTTACCATTACAAGTAAGTATATATACATATATTTATTTTTCAATATTTATTGCATATTTTATTTACTTCGTATATTTTTGTGTGTTTTTTGGCATTTTAATGCGGTTAAAAATATTGCTTGTTACTCGTGAAAACATGTGTATTTTTGATTATCGTGTGCTATTTTAACTATACATCGAAATATGATGTAGCATTTTAATCGATAGGCACAGAACGAATATCAGATGCTTATGGCCTGTTAAACATGCGTAACGGACCGTCACGCACATGATGCAATTACTGAGCCTGATTGCAATTTATGATAAAATTGTGACAGTTGTTGCTATCTATAGACACGTGTTGGTAGTATTAGTCATCAACTTTCCTCCAGATCCAGTTGTTGTGGCCTTGATTATGTCAGAGACTTTAATCAGGACGTTTATTGTAAATATTGACATTTTTTATACTGGGTCATATACCCTACCAGTATAATGACAAAGGTAAATGTAGATAACACATGTACAGGAAGGATACAATGGCTTAAAATTAAAAGTAGCCAGGTTGGCATCATATTATTTCGGATGTCTCGTTCTATAACCTTAAATCAGGTGAAATGTCCAGTGGCTGGATCGGTCCTGACGTCATGACCTGTGCCTTACCTCTGGTCATTAACCTATTTCAGTCAATGTAATTTGTGTTGGTGTGAGCGGTATTGTCTGATAGGATTCTACCTGTGCAGTAGAACATTCCAAATGTGGTGGTGTTGTGGAGTGTTTTACATTCTATATTGATCACCCTCAGGCATTTACCTAAGGGTGTGTACGTCTTTAATATACAAAAATGACCTGTGGGCACCAGTGATGACCAGTCTGACAGATCAAATGGGTTTCGTCTCACGATCTTAAGTCTATTGACGACAGAAATTGATTAGACGTGATGGGCTTGCCGTAACAGTAATGATAGATACAAATAACATAATGTAACAATATGATTTTTAGTACAGACAAGTGACCACAACAGTAAAAAAAACCCACGTGAATTAAATCTCATGCTTAACTCTACAATTATTATATTAACAAACATGTTTGTAATATTGAGTACATACCTAACTATCCTTTTAAAAAAATACGTTCTCGTTGGAAGTTCAGCGATGAATAGACGAAAATATTAAATGACAACAAATAGTTGAAAACGGACATTCTGTACATTTTGGTGAGAGTTCTGAATTTTATATTGAAATACTGAAAAAAAACATATATTATTAGTATTTACTATTGTAGCTAGAATTGTCGTTGTTTATGTACTGTAGGACGACGTGCAATGCATGTGTTGTACTAACAGTATATACACACAAGTAATTTACCCAGGCGCCACTCAATGTAAATTAAAAGTTCAAGGCCGAAGTTAACACTTGAAGATCCCAAGATTAAATAGTGTTATTGATTTTAAACATGTTTAATAACAGATCGACTTCTTAACCACGAAAGCATTGTTAATTATAAAGTCAAGTTGAAGACTTAAATATAGAATTACATCGAATTTGAGTATTGTAAACAAGTATAAATTGAATGTTTATTTTGTGTAATGTAAACACTTTGGTATATTTTCAATGTTGTAAGCATATATCGACTAGAAGGTGTATTGTGTTATATACATAGCCGTGTGTTGTAATACACCTCATCGAGCTATAGACACTGCTATGGTAGATCAGTGTTCCGAGGCATAAGGGGTTTACACAGCAGTCACAATATACACAAGCCGATGACAACATCAGCTTAATACTACCTTTAGTCATTCATAACATTCATCTCATTATTGCTGCCAACCCGCTCTCCTTTGCGTAATGGTATTTTCCAGCATTAGACGACTGTATTTTACAAATGAAATTAAACAGATCATACCAATGAATTTATCAGTGATATATACTAATGTATATTATTTTTTTTATGTTTTTCAGTTAAGAAATGCTGCTGAAAGACGAAAAGGTCAACATGACTTGCCTTCCAATGGTGGCCGCCCTCCAGACCGGCCGAGCAGTGATTATCGATTACATGACAGATCGTCAGCTCACACAAACATACTGCATGATTCAGGAAGCAGCACAGAACAGCGAGGGGTATGGAATGGACGAATTTGACTCTGAAAAAGACTTCCGAAGGGAAATTGATGGCAGTGACTGTTTTGCTATCATGTGTAAAGAAAGTGGTGACATGATCGCTGCATTCATTATTGCAGTCAGCAAATTCTACCGGGGTCCCTCGGGTGTAGCGGACCCCTTCGTGATTGTGAAGAGATCCGAACGTCAACAGAGACTTGGAGAATTCGCCCTGCGTACAGCCATCGACTTCTCGCGCAGGCTCGGATACATGGCCATGTACGTTGATACCTTCTCAAATAATGTTGCTATCCAAAGAATAGTGGAGAAGATCGGAGGTTTCCGTCGTGTCGGATTCCTTCCCATGGGTGGACGTCTCAACAATGGGGAGATGGTCGGGTCTCTCATCTACTACCGTGACTTGACAGTTAGTCTCGTTAACCTCACGTGATCTGACTGCCAACGCCTTACCTGATCAAGTCAAAGGCTGATCTCTAACGATCAACCAAAATGCGCAAGCGGCCGATTCACACTGGCGTCAACCAAAACATGATACCACATCGGCGCGCTTGTGTTTCCAAGGAACTGACAAGCAGACTCCCAGAATATAGGCTGCTACAAGCCATGCACGTGCTTGAACTATCATTTGTAACGTGTTTCATCATCGTACCGTGAAAGCTTGTCACTACACAGCCAAACCATGTGAGTTAGCGCGCGGGACCAAGGAGAAGACTCTTTGTCCTTTTAACGGAACTGGATTAACAAACGAATGTGAAATGTGCATGAAGTGCACGCGCGAAAGTGTTACATAGACAATGATGTTAAATCAGACAAAGTGATATATTTAATCTATGCATACAATGACGATAATTTTATACATATGGTGCCATTCAGTCAGAATTATTTTTTGTAATGAATATTTGATTGTTATGAATGATTAAACGCGCGTCGGGTCTCTCATCTACTACCGTGACTTGACAGTTAGTCTCGTTAACCTCACGTGATCTGACTGCCAACGCCTTACCTGATCAAGTCAAAGGCTGATCTCTAACGATCAACCAAAATGCGCAAGCGGCCGATTCACACTGGCGTCAACCAAAACATGATACCACATCGGCACTGCTTGTGTTTCCAAGGAACTGACAAGCAGACTCCCAGAATATAGGCTGCTACAAGCCATGCACGTGCTTGAACTATCATTTGTAACGTGTTTCATCATCGTACCGTGAAAGCTTGTCACTACACAGCCAAACCACGTGAGTTAGTCACTCGGGACCAAGGAGAAGACTCTTTGTCCTTTTAACGGAACTGGATTAACAAACGAATGTGAAATGTGCATGAAGTGCACGCGGAAAGTGTTACATAGACAATGATGTTAAATCAGACAAAGTGATATATTTAATCTATGCATACAATGACGATAATTTTATACATATGGTGCCATTCAGTCAGAATTATTTTTTTGTAATGAATATTTTTAATGAAAACAAACGTTCGTTTTTAACTGTTATACATATGTTGAAATTGATTGTTATGAATGATTAAACTTATGAAAACGAATATAACAGATTTATTGTTCTTTTTGTGTTTCACTTTCTGCCATTGATGCAAACACCATTTCATATAAGTAATCATGTTAAGTAAAAAGCAAAAATATTTACCTCCTAGTGAAAACATTCAAAATATAACGAAGGACACCCTCATCATTTGATATTTTTTCTTTAAAATTCTTACCTTTTCCCTTCTTGAATGCACTTTTCTCTGTTTTTGCTCCTGATTACATGAAATTTATACATTCCTCTTGCGAAATAGCGATAAAAGTCCAAGGTATTGGCTTGTCATCAATTGTCATTTCTTACTCGGCCCCTTATTCAAAAAGGCACTCCCAGGAACCAATTGAAACCTGCATAGAGAAAGATATCTCCAGCATTTCTCTCAACAAATAGCGATAACAAACTTTCATTGTCAAAGTTCAAGATGGCCGTCGGTCATCAAGACTGTTTTTCTAACCGGCTCCGAAACTAAATGGAAAAAGTCAGCCTGTATATGAAATTTGAGAAAGATCCATCCTGAATTTCTCAAGAAGTACGGATAATAAACTTTCATTGTCGAGATCCAAGATGATGGCCTGTCAGCCACATTTTTTTTCTTATCAGATCCAAAAACCAAACGGACATAACTAGGGTCCAAGAGAAACCTATCTATGAAATTAGAGAAATATCCATCCTGTACTTCTCAGGGAGATTACGATGTTTATGACAGACAAATCACGGACTGATGTTGCACTAAGTGAAAGAGTAAATGACTAAGACAAGGAACACCGGTCGGCAGGTGATGCAGTAATAAAGACTTATATCGAACATGAAATAATGTTGGGTCACATGCCGACTGCCAATCCAAATGAGATTTTTTCTCTTGTTAGAATAATCAGCTGTTTTGTAGATCTCTGTAGATCTCCATATTCGTACAGTATCAGCCGTGGTATAGATTTCTATATCTGTACAGTATCAGATGTGGTATACATCTCAATATCCGTACAGTATCAGCTGTGGTATAGATATCTGTATCTGTACAGTATCAGCTGTGATATATATCTCTGTATCTGTACAGTATCACCTGTAACATAGATCTCTATATCCGTACAGTATCAGCTGTGAAGTTTATCTCTTTATCTGTACAATATCAGCTGTGGTATACATCTCTATATCTGTACAGTATCAGTTGTGGTTTAGATCTCTATATCCGTACAGTATTAGCTGTGATATAGATCTCTAAATCTGTACAGTATCAGCTGTGATATAGATCTCTATATCCGTACAGTATCAGCTGTGGTATAGATCTCTATATCTGTACAGTATCAGCTGTGATATAGATCTCTATATCCGTACAGTATCAGCTGTGATATAGATCTATATATCTGTACAGTAGCAGCTGTGGTATACATCTCTATATCTGTACAGTATCAGCTGTGGTATAGATCTCTATATCTGTACAGTATCAGCTGTTGTATAAATCTCTATATCCGTACAGTATCAGATGTGGTATAGATCTCTATATCTGTACAGTATCAGCTGTGGTGTAGATCTCTATATCTGTACAGTATCAGCTGTGGTATACATCTCTATATCTGTACAGTATCAGCTGTGGTATAGATATCTGTATCTGTACAGTATCAGCTGTGATATAGATCTCTGTATCTGTACAGTATCAGCTGTGATGTATATCTCTATATCTGTACAGTATCAGTTGTGGTATAGATATCTGTATCTGTACAGCATCAACTGTAACATAGATCTCTGTATCTGTACAGTATCAGCTGTGATGTATATCTCTTTATCTGTACAATATTAGCTGTGGTATACATCTCTATATCTGTACAGTATAAGTTGTGGTTTAGATCTCTATATCCGTACAGTATCAGCTGTGGTGTAGATCGCTATATCTGTACAGTATCAGCTGTGGTGTAGATCTCTATATCTGTACAGTATCAGCTGTGGTGTAGATCGCTATATCTGTACAGTATCAGCTGTGGTGTAGATCGCTATATCTGTACAGTATCAGCTGTGGTATAGATCTCTATATCCGTACAGTATCAGCTGTGGTATAGATCTCTGTATCAGTACAGTATCAGCAGTGGTTAGATCTCTATATCTGTGCAGTATCAGCTGTGGTATACATCTCTATATCTGTACAATATCAGTTGTTGCCAGATTTCTATAAGAATTCATAATAGAAAAGATAAGTTTGGTATGATTTATTTACTATTCTGATCTGTGGGTGAAAATTTAAAGCCTTTAATCATGCTACATTTGAACATAAAAACCGTGTTGAGTATGAAATGATGTTGAATCTATCTTAACATACAATTGAAAGTGTAATTCCACTTTACTAACTAACCACTTGTTACGGTAACAAGATTATGACTGCCAGGGTACTATCATCAACGACGCCATCTTAATATCGATAGAGCTGATTAGGGACTCTGACCGCCCTAAATGATAGGACAGATAACATCAGTTCGTCCTTGACATCGCATGTAGGTACAGATTCTAAACAAACATGATAATATTCATTTTGAGGTCATATTTGATATGTTTGATCACCTCATGTCTTCCATTAAGGATGCTAAGGTTCAAATTAGGTTACATCTATGTATTTTTTTTAATCATCTAACATTGAATTTTTATTTTTGGATTAAGTGCATTTCTCCTAATTGGATTATGCCATTTCATTCGATTAAGATTTGTTTGCCTCAGTCGCCTCTTAAGTTTTAACAAGTCCAACCTTTAGCGCCACTGTACAGATCTAGAAGTTTCAACAAGTTCAACCTTTGACATTACTGTACAGATCTAGAAGTTTCAACAAGTTCAACCTTTGACATTATTGTACAATTCTAGAAGTTTCAACAAGTTCAACCTTTAGCGCCACTGTACAGTTCTAGAAGTTTTAACAAGTTCAACCTTTAGCGCCACTGTACAGTTCTAGAAGTTTCAACAAGTTCAACCTTTAGCGCCACTGTACAGTTCTAGAAGTTTTAACAAGTTCAACCTTTAGCGCCACTGTACAGTTCTAGAAGTTTCAACAAGTTCAACCTTTAGCATAACTGTAAAGTTCTAGAAGTTTTAACAAGTTCAACCTTTAGCGCCACTGTACAGTTCTAGAAGTTTTAACAAGTTCAACCTTTAGCGCCACTGTACAGTTCTAGAAGTTTTAACAAGTTCAACCTTTAGCATAACTGTAAAGTTCTAGAAGTTTTAACAAGTTCAACCTTTAGCGCCACTGTACAGTTCTAGAAGTTTTAACAAGTTCAACCTTTAGCATAACTGTAAAGTTCTAGAAGTTTCAACAAGTTCAACCTTTAGCGCCACTGTACAGTTCTAGAAGTTTTAACAAGTTTAACCTTTAGCGCCACTGTACAGTTCTAGAAGTTTCAACAAGTTCAACCTTTAGCATAACTGTAAAGTTCTAGAAGTTTTAACAAGTTCAACCTTTAGCGCCACTGTACAGTTCTAGAAGTTTTAACAAGTTCTACCTTTTAACATCACTGTACAGTTCTAAACGATGAAACAACTGTATGATAGAGTGTGTTTCATTATTTGTATTTACTGTACTGTATCTAATTCAATTTTTCTTTTGATAGATGGAATTCGCCTGTGTGTCTTTTGCACAATAAATTTCTATCATCGGCAAAAAAGTGTTATAATACATAAGCAAAGATATGCAGTTTTCTCTTCAAACGAAAGGTCAGACGATGCAAGGAGTTTCCAAAGCTGATAAAACTTCCACACCTTTCCTTACTTTATGACTCAAGCATTTCTAAGTCGGAAGAAGAAGATTGCTGAAATGTCAGCCAAATGTTGGGCCACATCCATGGTACAGTGGGATGGAGTCATATCTGTCACATTTGTAATCTTATTTCCGTTGAAATTAAACCACAGCAAAGCTTAAAATTTTCTTTCTTTCCTTTTCTTTCACAATCAAGCGACTGTGTTTGAAATACATGCTCCAGATAGCACAGTACCAGCTAACACATGCTGTTGATTCAATA